CTTGCATGCAACTTTCTCCTGCTCTATACTTCGGTCGCTGTCGTGGCCACTCCAGTTCCCTTCTCTGCTGCTGATGATGAATATCAAGTGTAAAATTTTAATTCGCATTGTTAGACCACTAGTTACACACGTGACATGCCTTGAATTGACTTGTGATCTCCGACTAAGCCATCACATTATTAAAGCTTTCACATTTACCGATTTGGGTTGTTAGTGCTTGAAACAAAAAATCTTGTTTGGGAAATCATTTGACGAATAACCTCACGATCTACTGATTGGTCCAAAAATAATCGATCGTTTTGGGAATGGATTTTGGGGTTATTTGGTCCATTTGATGAATGTAAAGATCTTCGATTATTTACGTCACTTTCGGACTCTGTACCTGTGAATAATTGCAAAAAGCGATTAACAAGTGACAGGGTTTTCTGCGCACAATTTGCACCACATTCATGACTGCTAGGAAATATGAAAGGTGTATGTAGCATTTACAAGTTAGGCCTGAATTATCCGTTGTTTTAATTCTAATTCATACAAACGTCCGCTTACAATTTACAGTCATGTTGAATGCTGTTTGATGTTCTGTTATGTGGTTGCCACTGGGTTGAACTTAAACCAATTACACTACCCTGATACCCTCGAAGATTAAGAAGAGTGGAGAGGGCGAAGACATAACCACTTACTACAGAACTCAGACAAGTTTAAATCAATGTATTTTTAGCGTGCTGAGGCGTCAGCTTATACAGGAAAGCTCTACATCGCCCTCTGAACAGATATCGTGACCAGAGGTGCACTCAAGATGATTGATTGAATCTGTGCCCTCTCTAATGCGTCGTGACAATGCCCGCTCGCTGATCACCACAGTCTTTTGTCGAGTCACACAGATTCCACTTCGATAGCTCTCCAATACAAGCAGATAGATTGCACAAAGTGGCCTATCGATTCGCACCGGAAAACAGTTTTGTGTACGCCAGCATGGGAATGCCAACAAGGGTGCCTGGGTTTAGCTAACTTTGGAGTGGAATCTGATTCGTACTTGGAGAAAAGAAGCTTACCGATTCGCAAATTGCGGCTAAATTGCTGTAATCAGGTGTTTTCACAACACTGCGTTGTATTTCAATGTGCTTGCGGTCAACTGTGCCCGTCAATAGGTCTGTTTTCTGCGTCAAAACATGGAGCTGGCTTCCACGCGCTGCAAACACACAGGCGCGCATGGCACTTAGGAACCTCAACATTGAGGAGTAGTGTTGGCCTTCATTGGCTAAGTGGCCTCTCACAAGCAGTAAATTAAGGGCGACATTAGAGGCAATTGCTCACTCGGGCGGGTACAGAGTGCTCCATAATGACCGCCTTGCAGTGGCCAACACGAAAGGGACACTTTGGAGTAATAAAAGGCCCAGAACAAGCCTAATGCAGGCCATTTGCAGGCAGGATGTCAGAAAGCAACACGTTTGTATACCATTTCTTTAATGTCTACATCGGCGTACCAGTAGCAATCATAGGCACCATAACCAGCGCACTGAGTTTGTGCTTCTTTTATAAAGACAACACCACCACTCTGGGAACTCGACTTTTGCTGTCATCCGTCGCTTTGAATGACATTGGCTACCTGCTGTTAAGGACTTTCTACCGCCTGAAACGCGAGCTCACCGACTCGGAGTCTGCAGCCTGGGAAATTACCCTGTCGATCATATTCTTCAGCCTCAACGTCTTCGAGATGGTCCGCAATTGGCTGGTGATTGTTATCGGAGTGGAACGCCTTCTGCTCTTCCGCAGCCCCCTCGATTTCCGGAGATGTTGGACAGTCAAGGCAGTCGGGCTGACTATAGGGGGCATCCTGGCGTTTTCCGTCGCCATACGTGTCCCCTCGCTCATATTTGGGCTCCCTGGAATATCAAAAGAGTTAGCCAGAACTTCGCGAATGGCGCATCTCCTAATCGAGTGCATCTTCTTTGCAACCCTCCCAGTCATGCTGATGGTCCTTCTTTCCATGGCAACGACATTCCAAGTGAGGAAGAACGTAGTTCAGAGAGGCCAACTGGGGTTGGACGGCGCCGCGAAGAACTACAAGCAGATCTCGGTGATTCTGAAGACCATCCTGTGGACTTTTATGGCCTTTTCCATTCCATGCGTGCCCTCCAGCATCTTTCACTTCTACTGCCAGTACCAGAGAGCTTGCACGTCACCGAAGATGGACTTAGCAGAGGATGTCGTGAGCTCAATGGCGAATTTCTTCTCCATTCTGAACTCCACCTCCAACTTCTTCATCTACATTGTCCAATCGAGGAGGTACAGGCGCACGTTAATGGAAATGTTTAGGCTGCGGTTCTGCCTAAAACAAAACCACAAGGCCACCGTAGCAACTATTTCAAAATAAGAGAGCATGGCTGTCGAGTTAGAATGTGCATTTCAACAACCCTGCGTTTGCTGTCTCCATTGACCGCTTTGCATGGTCGCGGTCTATTTTATTTTGAAGGCGATAATCGGTAACTCAGTTAGTGTATTTCGCTCATTCCGGGTTTAACTAAACTCTTGTAAATCATTTAACCATTTCATGGTGCTCAAAAATTTCGTCTAACATATGTGTAGTTATTTACTGTTGAAAATACTGATATTTTTCTGCTACATCACATCGGCTGTCGTTCGATGCGAAGGATTTTACGATCGAGGGGCGATGACTTGCTTGAAGCTCCATGGAAAATGTTGTGGGTATTGGCACTAGTGTTGACCTAATTGGCGCTTACTCAGTCCGTCTAAAGTGAGACTGGAAGCAGGAATTCACATTGGAAGAAAAAAATGCCTTAGCTTTGAATTTCTGAACGGCATAGCTGTTGACCCCAACGTTGATATGCTTCAGTGCGATACTATCTTCATAACTCATTCAAAAATTAATCGCAGAACGGTGACCGTTCGGTTTCAACTTGTAGCTAGGCGACACTGTTAGGTCTCCTTACAGGGACCACAATAACTCAGTTACCCAGTGAACATTCATTTGATTTCAAAGCCAGGGGATATAGGTCTCAACACGCTCCATATTATAGTCCACTTCCAAATCTCGGCTTAGCAGCAATGCGGCATGCGTGGCGGACAATGAGGCGAAGTCTACTGCCGCAAATGTTAGTCAAACGTAACCTGCCAGATCCAAGTTGTGGCTGATGAAGGGGAACGTGAAATTTTCTACGTGTAGACCATGACATAGCGGCAAACTCAGGTAAATTCCACGCTGTGGTTCTTATGCAAAGTTCAGTACAGATAATACGCCTTTCTTGGCTCTGGGCAACCACGCATTGACCATGCTTAAAATGAAGAAGTGGGCTGCGGGAGTTGGTGGCAGGAGAAGAACAAACGGTACGCGTTTCTAACCGACACAGGGGAAGTTCTCAGTGGTATGCTGTGGGCCACTGTGGTCAACACAAAACCCTCGCGATCAGTTGGCCTCCACCCAAAACTCTGGGTGGAAGGTGAAGGGTTCGCCAAAGAAGCCTCACAGATCAAGGCAATTGCTGGTTCCAGAAACTCCCCCACCGAGCCAGTTACTTCCTTTTTCCATTCCATTATTAGGGTATTAGGGCATCAATAATGACTGCAGTAATGCAGATTATGGTCCAAAAAAATTTACTCAAAGCCTCAGAAACTTCTCCTGTACTTCATGATTCGTCTCTGAAGCACGAGTAACACTGCGTCAAAAATCAGTGAAGACTTTTCACCACATTCCTGATTTAAAGACTTCACAGTGTTAAACAATTCATTGTACGCTTGGTTACGAATCAAACTACAAGCAGATTCATTGGGAGGGATAAAAGAGTTAAGATGGTCAGTGTATGCTGTCAGCCAAGACACCACATTGTGGTTGTGAAGAACTGAACGAAGGTTCAAATAACCAGGGAGTTTCGGTCATAGGTACGCACAATCGAGGACGTTCAATCAAATCTAGCGTCACTTTTTAACTTCGATGAGAGGATACAGGCCAATAGTGCCTACTATAGCTTAGTTCCGACCCCAATAAGTATTTGTCAGAATCACATTTATAGTATTTTGTGTGTATTATGTAATATCAATTAATCAATCGATAATTCTTTGATACATTGCATGGTCATCGTCTTTTCTTCCAAAACGCCAGTAATGTTCATCCGAGTGGCCTTGACGCAATCCAACCAAATTCCTCCGATTTTGTGGGTTTTTACATATGCGTAATTTACTAGGTGACTGACAATTTTGTGCATCAATCCAACCTAATTAAGCTACCGAAAAGCTGGCCATTCATCAAAGTGTTTTGTGGGACCTGCTACTACTTCTTGTTCAATGATTGGCATTAGTGTAGCAGCATCTTACCTGTGTATGTAGAAGTACATGGCATCGGTACTCTGACACAAGTCAGAGACCCACTGACCACCAATGAACGTTCACAACTGGGCTAACGGATACCTGCGAATCTGACCACATTGATTTTTAACGGGGTTTTTTGTATTGTTTTCAGCTTTCCCCTCCTCTCGACCGATTCTATTTCAAGCAGACCTCTTGGCAGCATTAAGTAAACCAACCAATCACAGTACTTAAGATTCTACCAGTTAAACTTGACAAATCCTTCTGTAGCATTCCGTTCCTCTAGCCCTAGCCTTTCGCATAGTCTTCCAATCAAATCACACCACTGAAAGAACTGGCTCTCATTTCTCACTTACCGAACAGAGCGTCACCTCGAAACCGGCACAATCGTGAGCATCCTCGACGCATGTCGGCGTCTCTTCAGTTTGAAACCCACGCACCAGCACTTTGGAGAGTGTGTCGAGGCAGAACCACCGACCCCAGTGTAATGACTGTGGGTCAAGTGAAACCAGTGAACGGATTGCTTGCTGTGAAACACACATCGGAATTTCCCAACATTTACTTAATTACAGTGAAGAAGTGTTTTTTAGCTTACGCCGATCACTATGTGTGCATGCTCGCGTAGATTGTTTTAAAAACGTGCCGCCGATTACGAAACCTCCGAGTTTATGATTGGGTTAGACGTGCGCACACTGCAACTCAACGCTTAAATGCTAGCAATGCTGCACAACCTACGGCATGGCGGAGTCGATACACTGTCTCAAGTGCAACAGAACGTGAGTTCTCATTTGGATTTTACTTATTGATCTGTGCAATGCTGACATCCTTCGCATTGGTTAAGCCAAAACTCACTCGAGACAGAGGTTTATGCAGTGTCGGTGGCTCCGCCTGACTCGGGCTTAAACCGATTCTTCCTGTCGTCGAAAGTTACCAAAAACTAGACTAAAAATGGGTGAATTTGCGGCAAGTCTCAGCCAAACATGTATAGCTTATTACCTATCGATGGGTGGTAAATAATAGGCGATTGATTTTTCTGGTGTTTTTTTGCCTGATTTTCGAATTATCGATGTTTGCCTTCTGTGAGAATGCGTTTGCAGTTGCTAAAACCTAGCATTCAAAAATGATGGAAAATTTTTTAGGGTGCGGGTCATTTACCAAATGCAAGGCGTCATTCATGTAAATAAAAAGCGTAATTGATCAAATAGATGGTAAACAACGCGAGGTAGACGGTTTGGAACACACACAGAAAGGTAAATATTGAACGAACCCCATCACCCCACTCATCCAAGCGTGTTCTGTGCACTTATAAGTGACACGGTGGGACGATAGATGGCATCGTCCATCACATGAAGTGGCATTGGGTGTTGGAACAACGTAAGCCATTTGGGACCCGTCTGCTTCACACCACAATAGTCCTGGGTCAAGCCAGTTGCCTAGATCGAGGTACTGGAGTGGAATGAGGAATAAGACTGGCCACGAAGCGCTTCGGAATTCCGAGGAATCAGTGCTGTCAGCTTTTGAGACTGTTTTAGCCAAGGTGAAAGAGACGGATTGTCCGAACTACACCGACAGATGCCTGAGATGGAGCGTCAATGATTTAGTTGGAGATGAAGGCCGTCTCACACTGTATGAATCCTTAGTGTTCGCAGGGACCTACTGTGATCACACGCCTCAGTTTATGTTGAAGTCAAAAAATCCCTAGGCAAATAGCTGACTGCATAGCCGCGTTTCTGCATCAAACTCAAAGATTACGATAAAGAATTTCTATGAGCTTGTGCATAGCAGATATTGTCGCTAATCCAGCATGCAAAACGCTGCTGCGCGCGTGTGTGTTGGTTTCGAGTGCAAGGGCCAAACTGATTGCATGCCTGGGGGCTATAATAATGCGCGCATCTCCACTTAAAGTTCGCAACGGAGGTTAACGACAATTTGCTGCTTCGTTAAGTGAATCTTTTGTGCGGATATCTTGTGTGATTATGCTGGGCAATGAAAGAAGATGGGCAGAATTATTCTTTGTGCAAGTTAAAACTGCACAGTTAAATAGGACAAGTCACTCGCTGTGTCATAGCAGCGTCTGACTACGAACTCCAATCTTCCTCAGACGTCGTCATGGTTTTCAAAAAAACTAGGGGGGGTTTGTAGAAATCTTGAAAATTTCAATTTGCGATGAAAATAGATCATCCACAACAGCTCAAAGGGATTGGAACAGCCTGGAGATCTACTCATATTCACCAAAATTCACGAACTGAATGACTTGAGCCAACATTGTCCGTCGCATTTCTCACAAGAGAATCACTACTTCTTGGGAGCAGTTGGACACAAACGAATTTCGAGTTTGCTAGATCAAGAGATACCACATGACCATTCTTAATGTGAATTAACCAGTGTTTCCTAATTGTCAACCCACAGCACCGGTCAATGGATAGTGAAAAAGAAATTAATGATTGATTCCCCACAAACATTTTAGTTGCGAGTTTGCCCGCAACCATGACCTAGGGAACTTAAATGCCGTTACGGGTATTCGATGTGGCTGTTTGTCACTCAGATCGGAGTGACTTTGGTTCGGTGTATTTGTGGGTGGAGTAGTACCAAAAACCAACGCGTTCACTGCCTTGAGGCTTAGTAATTCCAGAAGTAACCCGGCGTGTCCACACACCTTCAACTTTAATCAATTCATTATTTGCCTATTTCAGAAAACGATGTCATGCCTAATAATACCCTGTCTATTAAGAAATAGTGTATCACAGGTAGATTTTTCGCACTAAGAATAAGCCAAATTCACACGATAATCACCATCGACTTGAGGTCACCTCAGAACCTTTGAGAGGTTGGTCTAATTTGATCATTTTCCGAGCTAAAATAAATCGTTCCAAGGGAATATTGCTACTGTAATGTCATGTATTCTGCCTTAATTCCGTGCATAATCTACCGCATGTCCGAATAGACGTTGACATGGACGCTTAATTTATAACGTAGGTTTAAGATGGGTTGTGTGTGTGACATGGGGACAGGGAGGGTGGAAAGTAGACTAGCGCGTTCCCCCGTTGAGAGTAACTTATCAAGACACCGAAAAAGCCAACACTATCCCGCCCAACTCCAATATCGGTTCGGTAATTATCCAGTGTTTGCAGTTATATTTTCAAAATAAATGTGCCCAATCACGTTATTGAACGCTAATAAACTTCGGACGTTCGTCCTCAACAGAGGCGACAAATGCGTGATTCGGGCACCGCCTTGCGACCAGTCACATCGGTTCTGCGACCAGTGCGTTGGTTTCCAGGACGACGACGAATCCCAGGCGTTCGTGTGTCCCGAATGCTACGAATGTTGCTTATTCAACCAGATGACCAAGCTATCTGACGGCGTGCCCCCATCTACAAAGTCATCGACAGAGACGGTAAGTGGTCTTCTTCGAATAGCCTGTTTCAGAGTAATTTATGCAAATTATAGTTTTCCAGGGTTCACTCCTTACGCAAACATCGCGTTATTGATGAGTCATAACCCAAGGATCTAGGGAAAACTGGAGTACATGTGACATGTGCACCGACATCAACTGCATTCGAGGAACGCCCTGTGATAATTCTGAGAGAGAGCGAACAAGAGAGTGACGTTGTCACTAGCTGGGTGCGCCCTCACCAACCATCCACCGCGAACGCAGGTACAACATGTCTCGTTCTGCAACCCTGAGGGTTGCGCAGTCCTGTGTGCAATTAGTGGCGCCACCGGATTGCGATGGTTGTTGGCACCACGTCACCACATTGTACTATCATAATCATCAGCAGCTAACACGACCTAACACGCTCGTTCTTTTCTACGTTGAGTTAGCAGCATTGGTCTTTCAAATATCGCTACCAAGGAGAACATTCCAATTAAGGCTGTTTGTACCCAACAGCACTGAACCACGTTGCGAGAGACAAGAAATTAAAGGCAGATGGAAACATCATTTGCGGCACACATGTAGAATAGGGCACCAGAATTGCTTAATTTATGTCAACTATCGTGGTAAGCTGGAAGTCTCAATGGTAGCGATCGAAACGTCGTAGTAAGAGGTAGTTCAATACTTCGACAAAGAGCTACATCATTGGACAGACTTCCATAGCCGTATCCGTGTTATCCTAAAAAATTCAACACTACTAAAAGACACCTATGAACAAGACATTAATTTGAAACTGGGACATAACGGGTTTTGTGACATCCAGTAGGTGTACGCATTCAAAAAATCCGATCAATGAGCGGGTACGAACAGTAAAACAACGGAAATAAATGAGAATAGGAGTCCGCAATGTCGCCCTGTTGACCTATTTGGTTGCAATGTGCGTCGCTTACAGATAATTGAAATAAAGTAAAGCAACATATCCTCGCCTCTTTGTAGTTTTCAATTCTTTGCAAAAATACTCTAATTGGCATTTATAAAGTGGCATGCATAGAATCGAGTCGGTCATTCTAACACCAGCTAACCGATGTTTCCAGATTCAGATCTCGATCGCTTGGAGCCATCTTTGCTCATAAAACGAGTGAACGGGTGTCATTAGTGGAAGACCTGATGCCTTTGAATTCTGGCTTCTAGTAGCGCTGCACCGGCGACGCCATTCAGGCCTTGTGAGCTGCCAGAGACGACGATTAGACCTAGAGAGTAACTGTGAGACAAATTGCTCTTGATAATGACAAATCGCTCTGTCATGTTGGTTCCGTTTTCAATTACCTGCGTGATTGTGTGTGTGTGTGCATGCGTGCGTTTTCGAAAAGCCACATAACCACGAAAATGCTCTCTGATGTTTCACCTACCAACCACCGCACAAAATCCATCCCTATTAAGCATGTCGTGACAAATTCAAGTAACATGAAGCGAAGGTATCCAACAGCTACAATGATGTGGTGTATGAAGGAGGCGATTGTCGATACAAATGCATTGTGTTCAACAAAAAATGCATCTTTTTAAACAGAAAGGATTTACAGCTCCGAAGTGGACCTGCAATTGCTGGGGGGTAAAGTGTGTGAGTGAGTGAGTGAGTGCGTGTGTGTTCTTGCGTGTGCTGGTGAACAATGCTCGAACGGATCCCAGCTCATCGTGGGAAGTCGAACCAGTACCAGTATTAGTTGATGCCACAACAACAAAGCACCACAATGGCGATCCACTTTCTGAAAACGAGCATCAATGCATCTGTTGTGCAGGCTTCGACGCCTTCACTGGCACTGCGAGCTGGGTGGTGGACGGGAGGTTTGATGCAAACCAAATGGATTAGCTTCTGGTAGTTGTCCACCCACAAAGCAAGCAAAAGTGATGACGAGGTTAAACATCTGGCTTCGATAAGAACAGAGTTGATTATAGGAATGCCAAAGGGCGTGCAAAGGCATCTACTTCCACTTCCGATGCTTCGAAGTGAGCCAAGTTAAGGAAGATATGCACTTCCGCAACAGAACTGATGGATTCTACTTGCCGACGGACTGTCCATTTATGAACTTATGCATACGTGCTATCCACCGTGTCTGTGCTCCTTCCTTAGTAACTACTCGAATAAGGCCAGCAAACGCCGTCCAGAATGGCACATTAATTTGCGAGAAATTCTGGTCCAGAGGCAAGGGAATGCTCTGGCTCGAACCGATCATACTGTAGGACTTTTCACAACTGCAAAACGAGGAGTGATTGGGGAAAAACCGTAGGAAGGAACTGTTTTGAAGGATAAAAAGGCCTGCTTCGTTCTCAGCAGAACCAAACAGCTAGGGGCGGGAGTGCGGATTCTGTGATACAGATTGCAGTGGGAACAGAAGCGGAGACTACCTTTCATCTGTCAGAAACAGACTTCCTTCGTGGTTTCACCATGACGAACATTGTGGCGACTCAGCCCACTCAGAGAGTGAATATTCCAGCTGATTGAACGGCTCTGCACTCAGAGCTACCACACATTCACACATTCCACCAGATTAGAATCACCTGGTAGATCTTAGTAGCCTATTCTCACTTCTGAAGATTGCGATTGCGCAATTTTTGCGGCAGGTGAATCACTGAGCTCTTCTGTCGGTTGCAACGGTTCAGAACTCAGCTACTTCATGACACCACCAAGATTGGTAGCATCGGTTCCCTCAGCATCAGAATTGTGTTTCAGCCGTCCGCACTGTCTCGTTTGACCACCGTCACAATTTGGACTGGAAGCGCAGGAATTAAGCCCGGAACATGTCCATCATATCAGGATCTGTCGACCTAAGAAGCTTCAGGGCCAAGTAGGAATGCAAAGCATAAAATTCAGTGCGTGGGCCGCAGGACAGACAGCAGGCCACAGCTCACACACAAAACCTCGCGAACCTGCATTGATCAAAGGTGAACATCGGAAAAACTAATCAAATTGAGTTGGATGCTTCAAAAACGCGCATTTCCAACCTACTTGTCTTTAAACGAATTTAACTCCCTATGTGTAGCTTGAAATAATTGAAACTTGCTGTACATAAAGACTGGAAAAAGCAGAGAAAATCTTGATAGTGCCAATTAAAATAAGTGCCTAGAGGACTTTAAAACAACATTGACAGGCGTATTTAGCAGTTGCAAACGTCAGAGTTACGTAAACATTACCAATCATTACCCTGCCAACTGCAATAATCATTTGATTACAGTGTGTGTAGATATTTATGCAATCGTTGGATGACGTTGAAGGACCCATTGAACATGTCCATTATTGATTTCTTTGGGCAGTAAGTAATTGAAAGCAACTCTGATAATACCGAGGTCTCAGAGTCATGTTCGGTTGTTTGTGACAGCCCATCGTAGACATCAACTGCCAGACTATTGCCAGAATTTACAACGACAGGTCCCCCATGTGGTAAAAGGTTGAAATGTTCCCAGCGCACTCATCGGGGTCGTGCCGATCTCCCACCGATGCATCGGAAAGGGCATTACAAGGAGGGACGATGGGTTGGAACGGTTTGACCCGACCAGCCCCCTTCAAACCTAGTTTTAGTGCCCACCCAGAAGAGCTTGTGGTCTGAGAACTGGAATTCGGCAAGCAGCCTTCTCGAGCAGTTGGTCCAATCAACTTCGTCTCGTATTTCCCCGCCACTATCATGTAATGCATCTTTTACCGACTGTGTACTCATCCAGTAAAAACCCCTTTCCATCTCACTCGACCAGTGTCATTAGTACCTGTTCCCAAGGTCGTGTGCTTCGGTCGTAGCTAGTCGTCAATACGCGACACCACTGCACAGCAGTCACAGCCTTGGAGTTTGCTGACTGTGTTGCAGTTCACGTACTCGAATCACGTGGCGCTGGTGCGATTGCTGGCTATCGAACTGTACCAGGCGGAGACATCGATGAAGCCCCGAGGCCATCTGCCAAGTCGAAATCACGCGGTGGAGTGGGTGGCAAGCGCTACAAACCACATCCACCGCATTGGTGGTCCACGCCACGTATTCAACGAAGAGGCAGGAACTTCATGCGTCTTTGTTGCACCAAGGGCACACCGATGCTGAAGGGTCAAGGTCAGAATTACTACGCACAACCACTCATGACAACCTCGACTCCTGTTTTTCGGGTCACAGCAAACCACACCACGTGGTAGCTGAAACCGTGAAGAATCCTACAAATCGAAGAAGTGCTGAAACAGTCTGTAGTGTGGATTTGGTCCTTACTTGCTTGCACCTTATGGGAGTGTGTCGTGTGCATTAATCAACCGATTTGCTTAGTAAGCAACCGTTTGCCGTGAATTGGCGACCTCGACGTTGCAAGCTCCCGGTTCGTCGTTCCCACAGATCTTACTTGGCAACACCTTCGGTTTGTATAGTTTTTCGCCATTATGAGTTAGATTTCTTGTAGGTCTCGCAGCGGCTGCATGGAGTTTTGGACACAATTAAACCGGATATCATTTTGCTTAGTCTCTAGGAAAATGGCTAATAGAGCGCAAAACCGAATTGCGTCAGGCTGTATCCAACCGATTCCCCCACAGAATGAATTCATTTCCAACATGAACATTCAGTTGATGCACTTTCCTGTGTATTTAAATCAAGCATAGCATCCTTTCGATAATTTTATGAATTCAGCCGATTCGGAGCATACAAAACTTCTGTGACGTGTTCGGATTGGGCAAAATTCAAACATAGCCAACCCCAATTGTGCATTCGTGCCCTGTCAATAAGCGATCGATCGGCTAAGAAAAATTGACGACTTTTAAGCTGGCTTTATATTACCCAATGAGCATTCGGTGAATTTGCACTGATTAAGGCTGTTTTGGTTAAACCGGTAGTAAATCCTAGTTACAACCAAGAGAGGCAGTCAGCAATGTGAATTTGCTATCATCGCAATCTTAAACGAATTCGCGAAACCGCATTCTGGCCGATGTGGCGCACGGTAAGCTAGTGTAAAGCAGTGATTCACCAGCGTCGGTTGTCGCTTCGGTGACGTGGCAGCCTAAGCAGCTCCCAGTGACTCATCAAACCAGGCAACGCCCTGCGTACTGTGGCGGGTCTGTATGCCCACGCGCACTGTCTGATTGGCTGACAACAACGCGCGCTTCGGACAGTAGGATTATTGGTTAACCCCGCTCACGGACAGGTGAGCTATTGGTTGTGGTCAAAACTGTTGCATATTTCCGGCCAGCGTACAACCGAACACGGGTACTTTGAAAGGCCCGAGTGGACAGCATTGGCATAAAGCTACCACAATGGGATTTAGGCGTCAATTGGGATATTCAGTTTAGAGTAAGTGCAACCTGCAAATCTTAATGATGACGATTAAAAAATGCGTACTAGATTAAATCGTGACATCTTATTCTGACTGGCGCAATTTTTCTATCCTCGTGAAGGACATGCGTCTCCATATTCACGAATCAGTGCAAGGGGACACGCATTAGAATGAAAACACACAGGCACCCAAGTAGATTTTCAGGCCCACTTTAAGTCCTGCCTGACGTTCGTTTGCCTCAGTGACGATAATTTTGCCATTTATTTTGAGCTACTCAGTTGCAAATCAGTAGCGGAAAGGTTCAAATTAAAAATGAATATTATCCTATGTCGCGAGTGTGCTCAGATATTTTAGGGTTTTTATACGATAAACCCATCGCTGTGTGTCAATTGACTTTGTTGACAATGATGTACTTAAAGAAAACAAGTAGAAAAACTCTCAACCATCCAAAAGACTCAAGCTTATTCCCGCTGAAAGTCCCCTCTCATTAGTAGGTTGGGCGCCAACAATTATTGCAAAAAAGCACTGCACTCTGGTGAAGTGCGTGAAAAACAACAAGTTTAATTTATGCATCGTAAGGACACGAACTTTACATTTAGATACAGTGACTGCGTAAGCAAAAACCAATTGTTACGGAAGCAAATCACAGTGATCGATTATACTGTGGAGAATGTGATTGGTTGTAAAATTTCCCTATCCGCCGATTTGACAGCTGTCAGGGAGCCAGAAATGGAAAGTGGCATTGGTGAGAAAGGAAAGTTTCCCCTTTTCCGGGCAAATTACGACACGTGCCAACACAACGCGACTGCCATTATAAGCTCGGGAAGGGAATTAATTTGAGCCCCGTGTTCGTTGGTGCATCGAGAAAGTGCTCCTTTTAGTTAAGCAAAGGTGGGCAAGCAGAAAAGGATCCTTCACGGAGTTCAGACTTTGGATAATCTGGAGTCGAGTTCGATTTTATGACCAAATTACTCCAAACTAACCTCGATCGCGGAGCAACACAGGATACGTTTATTGACTTGCACAGGATAGTTTCTCGGAAGCGAATCTGTTTCCGCCTTTTGAGGACTACAGCTGACACCATTTCGAACATCCTTCTATGCACCCTGGAAGCAAGTGGTAGTTTAGCTGTATCTACTCGAACCTGACAACATATAGAAATGGAACTATGTCAGCTTGTTTCGGCTTCGTATCTACTTAGATCCAAATCACTTTCTGTGGGAAGTCAGCTAACAAGGAATAGAGAAAACTAGTGGTCCTTCTTTCACTAGCCTCACTATTAAGGCTTCCGCATTCACCCATTTGGCTTGTTAGTGCTTGCAATAAATAGCCATGTTTGGGAAGTCACTTGACAAATAACCTCACTAGCTACTGACCGGTCCAACATTTCACAACTCACTAAAGACTCACATGCCCTGTTAACTGTGCTTCCTAATCGTACGACAACAATTGACCCCATAGGCATCTCATTCGTCTTCCTCAATCCTACTCAACACTTTTCTGCGTCTCCTCAAGTCGAATCATCGCCATCGGCTAATAAGCCATCCCACTTAAAGCAAAACAAACAAACGAAGCATGAACACACCGATGTGGCAATTGAAGAAGTCAATCGAAATACTGCCCTACAGGAATTCACAGCTCATGTGTGCATTCACAGCTGTAGATTAAATTTATGTGGTTAGCCAGCGTGGATAACGAGGACCAGAAGTGTTGGTTTTCACGGGCACTAATTCCACCACATGGACGAGAGTTGCAGTCCAATGAATCCACCCACTCCCAGTGTGAGAACTTGCATGCAACTTTCTCCTGCTCTATACTTCGGTCGCTGTCGTGGCCACTCCAGTTCCCTTCTCTGCTGCTGATGATGA